GCAGTCCAGAGAGCATCCTTGTGTTGACCCTGTTTGAGGTGGCCCTCCTCCAAAAACCTGTAGAAGGAAGGGAGTGCAACTAGGTCCCCTCTTGGACATACTTTGGAAAACAATCCTAGTTCATTGTCTTTATTTAAAACATTTTGGGAATACCAAGTTTTAGAGAAATAACATAGGGTGATTTCAGATTTGAATACRTTTTCATAGGGCAAAAAAATAACCTTGCTCCCTGTTCTACCTGACTGCTGGTAATCGCAGCCTTCGTTAGGGCAAAGTCTGTCCGACACCCCAGTGATACAAATGCCATTTGTCCTTGCTGGTTTTGAAGCTGAGAACTGAGAAAGGGCTCTTATCGCAGACCTGCAGTCGGGGACTGGTGTGACAGGGCTTTGTGCTAAGTATTCACCGTCCTGGCAAAGCTGCTTCTTTATATTGTGTGCACTTGTCACTGCCACCTTGGCTGAGGGCAGAAAAGCAAAGTCATTTTAATTTCCTCCCTGCAAGGGCTATGTGCAACAGGCAAGGTAGTGACAGGGGAAGGGAGAAACCAGGCTTCAAATGCTTAGTTTTAGAAATAGTGATTTTTTTCAGCTTAGGTTTGCAGCTTTTCTTAGCAAAGACGGGGACCACTTTCCTCCAGGTGCGTCCTATTATTTTGTCATTTTCATTGTTTGGCCTGCCTGCTTATTCCATTTGAAAACCTCATGTAGTTGGTTCCCAAGCCAGTCAAGCTGACACGGTGGTACCAACCCAGCCTACTATTGAAGTCTGTTACTCTCCTCTTTGGAAATTTGTTTGTCAGGGTCAGGAAGAAAAGAAGTTGCCCCTGCCTGAAACTCGAAATACCCCATTACATGGAAACAAACATCATATATGCACACAGGAATGAGTACAGATACTCAGGCATATATATACATGTGTGTGTGTACACATATACATACACCTATATATTTTATTTATATCTAGAATGCATATRTAAATACATATTCATATAGACACCTCACCATATTGTTCCCTGACATCTAAGTATTATTTTTTAATTGAAGCAAAGGATAGCCTGTGAAATGGAAGCTGAGGCCCTAGAGATTTAACAGTGTGTTTGACATTGATTAATTATACCGGTCAGTTATGTCCTTTTTGCTGTTTTTGCATCAGTACGATGGGGTTAGGCTTGCTTAGCAACTATTACCTGAGTGTTTATGAAGATCAAATGCAATAGATATTCTTAGTAATATTTGTTTATGAAGATCAAATGCAATAGATATTCTTAGTAATATTTGTTTCTTCCTTTTTTAAAAGGGAACACAGAAGATTTTCACTGGTAGTGTTTTGAATTGCTTCTCCAAAAGCTTTCAGAGCTGAAGAGTGGTGCCAATTAAAAGCCTGAATTCCTAAGAACGCTTTGCAATGTCTACGTATACCTAGGTCTGTTTTTTCAGGTTTCTAATGTTGAGCTGGTGCCTTTGGAAGGGGGACTGTTACATAGCTGGTTCCAGACAATTACAGAAATTTTTGGGCTAAAAGAGAGGCAGGAGGCTGATATTTGGTTTAGTTTAGACGTTTTTCTGAAGTTTCCATGATTTATTCCTCCTAGCCTCACTTCTCCCTTCAATCATTCAGGAAAGAGCTGTAGAGCTTTCAGTACTAAATGATAAAAACAAATACTTTTTCTAACTCCAAATATTCAAACAACAACAAMAAAACCCTCAGAAGTCATGTTTTCCTTATTTTTTTTTTTTTTAATTAAGGGGAGGAGGAGAATGCAARTTAAAAAGCAGACTTAAGAAAGCAGCTCCTTTTCATTGTTGAGAGGAAGTCATCAGAAACCCATCAGATCAGTTCCTGCTTGGGAGCAGTATTTCTTGGTATTCCTAGTAARCTCCACCAGACCACTCTCTCATTACTTTTCAGAACTAGGCGCATAACATCAAGATGCTATTTGGTTGTCTGAAGATGCATTTTCCAGGCAGAAAGGATATTTGTAAGTTAAAGCAGAGATTTCCAACCGTTTCCATCAAAGAAAATTATGATCCTTATACCAACTGTTAGAAGAGACCATTTTTTAATTTATTTTGAACTATATTTATAAGGACCTAGCTTACCATTCACAAATCGAGAGCCGTTAATAGCCGGTAATTCTCCTTTCCTTACCTTGCTCCAACATCGCCCTATGTATCCAGACATGTATTTTATATATATATTAAAAAAAAAAGCCTTCCAATCAATTTTACCTTTCATTTCATTTGAAGAAAATTATTTCAGTTTGGCCACTGAAGCAAAAATATGCTCACAGTTTTATCTTTCTTTCTTTTTCTTTTTTTCCCTGAAGAAAACAGCCAAAACTTATACTTGGTCTTTAATTATATATTTGATTCATCCCAGTAACAACCCTTGACTTGAAACAATGCATGAGCAGGAGGAAACTTGCTCTGAATTCCTCTCTTCAAAGAGCAGAACTCTTTCAGATACCATGTCAAAAACTCTTTCAGCTTGAACCAAAAAGGGTAACTGTGAGAAGAGTGAGTACAGGGGGCTTTAGCTAATCACAGTAGTATGTGTCAGTACTGAGAGGAGGCCTCCAAAACTGTTTTCAAACAGATCTCCTCACATCTGGAAAGTTCACAATTGCCTGATGGGTTTATTACTTCTTTCTCTTCCCCCGCTTTTAATATGAAAATAACTTTTCATAGTATTAGTAGCAAATTACTCTTTGGGGAAAATTGCAACAAGGTGAAAATACATCCTATGTTACATGTTCCCCAGGCTATAAATAAGTGATAGCTACTCTTGATACGTAGAAGATGCCATACGTTAATGTCAGGTGTTGTATTGCTATCCTGGCAATCCTTGCAAGTGCACAAATTAAGTCAATTAAAACTTCTTGCACCATTTCCGYGCACTGTCCCCGCTTTGTTACTGGTGTGGTGAAGTGCTGACGGGGATGGGGTTTCCTTTGCTTTGCCGGTCGCCGCGGGGTGCGCGGTCCTGTGCCTGCAGGAGCTGTCCCCTGCCTCTTCCACCCTTGCTTGCTAGAAATCGTAGCTGAAATCTGTAGTAGATGGTAGACGAGAATCTTAGCAGGGTGCAACTACATGGCAGGCCTGTGTGAGGAGCACCGTGGTCTTGCCTGCCCTCCCCTCCCGCCCCGCTCTGCGTTTCTACTTCTTGACCTCGTTTTTCCCCCTCATTGCTTATTCTCATTTGTCTCTTGTCTCAGATTATGCCTCTTTTTCTCATGTCTTTTTTTTTTTTTTTTTTTTAATGGAACAGATTGATATCTAAGACCGTGTCTAGACTGGGAGAAAGGTTGAGCTTAGTTCAGACGTAGGTTAATGCAACGTGCCCAGCTCAGGTCTGCTCTTGACCACTTTTTTACAGCTGGAAGTGCACAGACATCACCGGTGGAGCTCTTAGATAGTGGGGTTACAGTTTGCGCTGCTGGCCAGACCTTCATCCCCATTTGCACCTGAAAAAGCCGGGATTTGGGGTTACTCTCAGCTATGGAGCGCCAAGCACTGCACCTAACCTCCCTTTCCTCACAGCAGGGAAGCCACGAGCCCAGTTCTCCTTATGGCTTTCTGCTCCAAGGACGCACACGTGCTCCCTGAGCCTGTTGACGAGTAAATCACTCAATGGGGGAGATTGCATCATGAAAAATATCCTAAATTTTTTATCAGCAGAGTGCTCTAGGCCAGCTTTTTTTGTGCTCATTTCCCCTGTTGTGTTATCTGTACGCCCAAGGTAAGGCAGCAGTGGAAAGGTGCAGCTCCTGACGTGTTCTCAGCGTGGCGGGAAGGCAATGGGACTGCAGGGGAGCGAGGCTCCCCAGCTTTCCTTCCCCACGCTCTTAGCAGGCCTCATCCCCACTGACCTGGTGTGGAGAGGGACGGGGACGTTGCACGTGGGGACCCAGGTGCCTCTTGGGCCCAGAGAGAGCCATGGTGGCCACCACAGTGAGTGATCGACCCCTGGCACCCGCCCAAATTACAGCTCCCCATCCCCCAAATATTTCATTGCATTTTTAAAACAGGACCCACCAGTCAGCGCCAGAAAGGTTTATTAGTTATTTTTAACAAATAAGTGGTTGTCGGGAGGTAATTTGTGTTGCAGCCATGCAGCGACCCTTCCCCGCTCACACTTGTCCCAAGGGGCCACATGGGGGCACAGCGGCTGGGGCTAGGGGGCCAGGGCCTGCACCTGGGGGTGCGGAGCCCCCTTGGGGCCGCTCCTGTATGGAAACAGGGGCGCGCAGTGGGGCGGCCTCCCCGCGCACACGGAGCCGGAGCGGAGCGGGGCGGCCGGGCCTCCCGCCAGCCCCGGGCGCGGGGCCG